AACATAAGTATGAATGAGCAAATTACATTTACCTTAAGTCAGGTATGAATGTCAGACCAAGGTCAAAACCAACTTGTTTTATTACTCTAGGGCTTGCTGTATGGTACAGTTTCTGCTGCTCATTTCGAATCTGTCGATAGCAGCAACCACATTGTACATCTTCCATTGACTTGTTAGAGGTCAGAATAGGTCATTGACCTAAGATGACACAGGTCGACATTTTGTCTTTTAGCAGCATGCTGCCTAGTGTTATCTTTGTTGCTCATTCAAATGCAAAACTCTTGGCAGTCTTGTATTATTTTGGTCACCATGACCTTGAACAAGTCAAACAAGGTCACTGACCTTAAATGAGTCTGTGAACTTTCGCTTAGGAGCAGTTATCTAGGTTCTGGAGCACTTTGGAGACCAACCTAGAATTTAACCTTGATTGACATTGTTTACCAGATTAAAACTTTCACCCAACCGAGTTCATGTATAGGTCAACATATTCTGTAAATTTGGTGTATCTAGCTTTCTTAGTTTCCGAGATCTCAGGGGGTGAAATTGACCCCAGCACCCCAGCGAGGGGTATCTAACGGGCCACCCGGGTGTGTGTTAATGCTCAAATGTTCAATGTTGCGTCGAGTTGGAGGGGGACGGCTGCCCCTTTAAATCGCCGCCCGCAGGAAGAACCGCTGGTGTCCTGGCTTTTGGTGTCCCGGCTGTGACTTGGTTTGTAAAGGACAGTCCACAATTTTATGACTTTTGTCACCTTGTTTTTGGCGGTTTCAAGCTTTCGAATTTGTTTCCGCTTAAAATGCCGCGACAGGTCTTATCTCTTGAACGAAAGCCACCGAAATAAAGGCGCATGAAAAATCTGCCGCACTGTCAGGCATTCATTCACTTTCAAAATTGTCACCACCGTATGTCCAGGGCGTATTTCGGCATCTACCCTTTTGAGGCAGGTGCATCCTCGATGACCCAAAATGTCTGCCTGCTCGTGGAATTTTGACTGCCCAGGAAAAACAATGTAAAAGTGGACGGAAAATCTTAGGAAGCTGGAAAGCATCATTCGTCGAATGACAGATGGATCGCATAAGCAAGATTGTTTGCCAGTAAGAAACGGCTTTAGACAGACTTTTAGCATCGCAGCCATGGCATTTCAATAAAGAGCGATAACAACGTCTATTGCCCTCCCCCCGCCCCAGTCATCACGCTTCCTTCCCAGAAAAATTGATCAAAGTACGCTCTGAGCTTGGCCTCCCTACTTTTTGAAGCGTTCTTAAGCCCATGCATCCACACTAGACATATGTTGCATGAAGCAAACAAATACCTTTTTTAGGTACCACACCAAGATAGCAGCCAAAATGCTGCCACAGAGAATTGACAACCATGTCGGGAAAACAAAAATCTTACTCTGCCCCTTCCATGGGTTGCCGTGAAGGTCAACTTTTTCGATGAACTTGTTTCTATGGTAGCATGAATTGCGTTATGTTTTCAATACATGAGAAGGGGGTGCTAGTAGGCTAACGTGGCCTGGGCTGGGCTTCATTTGGACTGCGGCCTTGCTCGCAGTCAACATGATAAAACTGCCTACACCCGGAAATGAGCTACATACTTCAGTCACGGTTGAAAAGCATGCGGTGAGTTTGGCACATCATCACAACGGCGCGTTGGGTGAATAACTTACGTGGTCCGGCGCGTATGGTAGGCCCAGCGTTCTTCCTACTGCCGTTCACAACCTCAAGCGCAGCCGGGCAGCAGTCGTCGGAGCTCCCCCGGCGAATCCGAAACACGCAGTTATGCACAACAAACTGATTTACGCAATGTAGTTGCATTGTGTGCGCACATCCGTGCATTGTATGTGTGCAAGTGTGTGTCTGGAGAGAGAGAGACAGAAAGAGAAAGAGAGAGAGAGAAAGAGAGAGAGGGAGAGAGAGAGAGAGAGGGAGAGAGAAAATTGGGGCAAGGGGGAGGAAGCGTTACCGCGAAGAGAATGTCGGAGCAAATAAACAAAGAACCCCTTATGTTTCAGACCAAAAGTGTGCCGTCCGAGAAAACCACGTTTTCGACGCAGCGGTCAACTGTTTCAACTGCTGTGTACTTACCCAGGCCCATTGACGGTTGCTGACTCTTTGGCAGTGCCGAGAGGCTCAGGACAGGTTCTTCTTGTCATCCATGCGGCGCCCCGTGGGCTTGAACTAGGTCATCGGCACTGTGGCTGTGGCTTTGTTACCGTCTTGGATCTGTCCTTGTCGTCGCCTGTGGTCTGTGGAAGCAAGGTCAACATATACATACATATACACACACACACACGCATATACATATATCTATATCTATATCTAAATCTATATCTATATCTATATCTATATCTATATATCCAGGTTTGTTAAACGCAAGGGCGTATATACATCTAATATTCTTCTTGTGTGTTTGATCGAATGCTCGAGTTCTACATTGCTAACTGCTTAGAGTGAGTGCTGATCCCAGAAATGTATCCATTCAACGTGTTCGGATCAAA